TACAAAAAATTACTCAAAATTCTTCTTAACCAAAGTTTGAGAACTAATGGCTGAGAAATTAGCCGTCATGGTTTTGTGAACATGCTTCCGACGAAGAGGATTGATGTCTTGTAGAGTTTTTGGGCTCATTCGAAGTTTGCTTGTTTCCGGTGGAAATCACTGACAGTCGTCAAAAGGGGACAAGAGGTGATCAACGAGAGCAATGTGTGTTAGAGTTTCTAGAACGTACGAGGGTCACTAGATGCGATAATCTCAAATTCCACGAAGGAGGTCCGCTTGTCATTAGCGAACTCGGAGGTAGTTGGCGAGGGATTTGGAGGTGACTGGTGAAATTTGGTTGGGGATTTTAAAAAAAAGGGATCAATGATGGCTTCTTATGTGAAAGAGGGTTTATAATTTAGAAAAGGGTAATTTTGGAATTATTTTTATTCGTCTCAAACACAGTATACAGGGAGGCAGTAATTAGAAGAATGGGTTTTAACAAAAAGTGATTGGATTACTTTTGGGTGTATGGATCCTTATAAAAGTGAGTGGGTTTTGAAATAAGTAGGGGTAAAACCTTGGGTCTAAAGAGAAAAACCCCTTTATTTTGATCTTTGTGATTTTTTAGGTTTGAAAATAATAAGAATTATAGCTATTTTCTTTATAAAAGAGGCATTATCTCCTTAACGCACTTACATAGGTTAATTTGTAAATTCCTTACTTTGTGAGGTCAACTCATTTTAACTCCTCTAGATGGGTCATCTTAACTCTTTCTATAATTTTGGTACAAATTTAGAGATAGGTAGGCTTACTTAATTCCTTGTGTTAAATGTTTGTGTTTGACAAGTTGAGGAGGGGTTACCCAACTCAACAAGAGTAGAAATAATAATTAGAGGGATTAATTTAGAATAACTCATGCGAATTAGTGGAATTAAAAGAAATTTAAGTGATTTGAGGGAGTAATTTAAAAAAACTAAGAATTAGGGACCTAATAGCAGTTTCAATGAATTGAGGGACTAATTACAAAATATGGAATATGTAAGGGGCTAATTTAAAAAAACGGTTGTTTGCATATTTACCTTTTAAAACGTGCGTAGTTGCAAAATTACCCCAACTCTTACCAATTGCAAAACTACCGCCCTAGATCATCAACGTTGGGATAAATACCTCCTAAAATAAATAAATCATCAACTTGCTGCGTAAAATTTTAACTATTTTGTTGCTAATTTTTATATTGCGGTTACAAATTAGTCTATTAAAGCCACTTATTGATTGAGTTGGGGATATTTTATTTTCCAAAAATCAATGATTTGAGGGGTACCTAGTTTTGCAAATGCTAATATCTGGAGGGCAGTTTTATAAATACTTGGGTTAAGCATAACACGCATAGTCGTTTAGAAGTTATAAACGCCCTGGCAAAAGAATTCTTCATATTTAAAGTTGGGGTCTAACCCCTCGCCATTTAAATAAAAAAATCATCACAATTTATGCCAAAGCAAAATCATCACCGGACGAGGATAAAAAAAGCACCAGCACTAACTGGACGTACGAACAGCAATTTAAACTGAGATCCGCACTCCGAAGCTAAATAAACGAAGTCTTAATCAGCAAGATCAAACAAGGAAAATGATAGGGGCACACTCCTAACCACATCCCCTCTCTCCTATGCTACAGTATACCAGGTCCTACATGAGATTTTAAAATTTTAAAATCCCATATAGGATCCGGTGTACTGTAGCATAGAAGAGAGAGTGTGTGGTTTGGGATGTGCCCCTAGTGCCACCCATCAAACAAACTCTCGACGGTATCAGATCCTCAATAATCGCCCGCAAGGAGACAGGGGCTTTCCACACAGACACTTGTTATGCTCAAACGCCGACGGCATCTCCATAAACGCTTTCATCTTGGGTATTGGTCCGCACAACATATTATAGCTCACGTCCAAACTGCCCAACTTACCCAGCCTCGTTATCTGCTCAGGAATCCTCCCCCGTATCTTGTTATGACTCAGATCCAGCTGCGTCAGCGACGGCGGGAACCTCACCGGCGTCAGATCGAACTCAAGCTCGTCCCACGACAAGTTAATCGAATCCGCGGACTTCTTGCCCGCTCAGAATAGGAACGAGGCGTCTCCGGTGAGTTTGTTGTGCGAGAGATCAACAGCTGCGAACTCAATACCCGCAAATGAGCTTGGTACGACGCCAGTGAGCTGGTTCTGATAAAGCTTGAGGACCGGAGTGGAGCCCTTCGCGCGAGGCATGAGACACGGCGGGATCTTACCGGTGAGTTTGTTACCCGAGAGATCGAGGTAATTGACCTTAGGGAGGTCACAGAGGAAGGAGGGAATGTCCCCAGAGATGGCATTGCCGCTAATAGTTAGTTGAGTGAGAGAGGATAATTTCGCTATGGAGGTAGGAATTGGGCCAACAAGGTTAGGGAGTTGGAACAGGTTGATGATGGTGAGTGCAGTGAGGTTGCCGATAGTTGAAGGAATGGGGCCGGCGGAGACTGTAGTTTG